TCGGGGCCACATGCTGCTGGGTGACAGCACAGTGATAAACCATTCCTCCGGGCCACCTGTGTGTGTGCCCTCAGAAACCACAGGGCTGGCTGAGCCGCAGGCAGGGCTGGCCGCAGGCGGGGCTGGCAGGGACAAACCAGAGCCAACCTGGCCAGGCGAGGTCACTCCCGGCCACCCACTTGCAGACCCTGCCAGGGCCCCAGCAGCCGCCTCCTGGGCCCAGTCCCCGAGTTTGGATTTAAGCTCCAGTAACCCACGTTGGCCACTACTGTGGCCTGGAGCTCTCCTGGAGCAAACGGTGACCGTTATAGTTATGACAGACGGCTTGGGGGATGCTGTAGACCTCTAGGACCTGGAAAAAACCACCCCTGCTGGACCACACACGGCTTCCCACACGCAGAGGGCAGCAGCGCCCGCCAGATGGGCCGGGATGCTCACCACGGAGCCCTGCTCCTCACACGAACAGTCGACTTCGAGCCACCGGACACTGGGAGCCTGATCCCTGCAGGCAAGGCTCTTCCTTGGCTTGACTCCAGGGACCCTGCCGTCAATGATGGTGACCACTTGTCCCTGGGACAGAGGCATGAGGGCAGGGCCCTCAGTGGCAGTGCTGGCGATGCAGGACTGCGACAGGCCGCCCCAGGCAGCAGCCCATACACCCCACTTCCTGAACCGGAGACACAGGCACAAAGTTGAAACACAGTTTTATTTACTCATTTATAAATACTGTTGTGTTTACAGGCATCATATTTGTGAATACTATTATTTCCAAACCTTCAAACACAATACTTAATAATACTCTGTAATAACAACCAGTAAAGCAAGTTCATTCACCTCAGGTTGAAGGCCACTCAAAATTGCATAAAAGTACATTCAGCTCAGAAAGCGGACGGTGCCCCCAGATTTACACACTCGCTGGTGCTCTGACTGCCGTGGGAGCGGGGGCAGAGTGGGTGGAGACACAGACACCCCCCTCGGTGGGAGAGGACGGAGACCCCAGGGTGGTCCTTACAGGCTCCCCTGCCCATCTGGCCCAGCTCAGGGTAGAGAAACCAGAAAGCCAGCCTGAGTCTGGAGCCGCTCCCCTAATACAGGACGCTAGGGTGACAAACTCCTTCCTTGAGAGGTGGTGACCCACCTTCCCAAGGGTTCAGGGGCGCTGGCTGGGGGGCTGCGTGCTCCCAGGACTCTCTGGCTTGGCCGAGTCCACGTGTCCTCTCAGGGGACAAGCTGGCTGCCCAGGTTCCGTGGGTGTGGGAGGGTGTGAAGGCCACACATTAGGTGGGTCTTGAGCATCGTGGCCGGCAGGCCCGGCTTGGAATCTGCTCTCGTCCCCATCCTAGTTTGGGGGAACCCTCGGGGCTCCCTGCAGTCAGCTGCCTCTTGTGGGTGAGCTCAGTTTGCTGACAGGTCACACTCTGGACAAAAGCCGAGTACAGCAGACATGCACCCATGGCTAGGGGACCAGGTGGGGGTGCTGCTCTTGGGTTCGTGGGAACCTTCTCTAAAGCACCATCAGCTCTGAGGGGCAGCAGAGAACAAAAGACGCGGGATAAGATGGGGAAGATGGTGCGCCACGG